AAATGGAATTTAGAGATTATTTATTTAGTAGAAAACAATTTATTTGTAGCCTTAAGAATGAAGCTTACTATTAAATATGTATTGTAGGATATAGAATTCACATATTTTTGAGGAATGAATAAATTGTGTTGCGGATGACAGCCTTTTGAAAATGACTTTACTATGTTTTAATAGAAATTTGAAAAAATTTAAGCTGATATGTTTACAACAGTGAAGTTTTAAATTGTCATTATTATATTTGATATTTATTTAAGAGTCTTTCTGATGTCCAAAGAATTTTTTGCTGCTTGTGGCAAGTTTTATACAGCACCTTGGGATATTAATAACGTATCATTTGATCCGCAAAGGTTCTTTTGCAAGCATTCGTGCGCAACTGGTAAGTAGACGAGACAAATAGATATAAATAACCGCAGTCTTTCCCAGAGATACATACGAAGGCTTTCCCAAGGGTTACCAAAAATGTCTGGAAAGAGGGGAGCAGGGTGAAAGCTCATGGGAGAGTCTTACACGCAACCTTATGAATATCTCATCGACTGGTGATACATGGATCTAGCTTTTGGCCTCATAAAAACAAAAATTCCCTTACAGATTCGTTTCAAAATTCTCTTTTTGTTTCAGTTACAGTGTCCTACTTTGTTTTTTGTTACGTACGAAATCCGGCTCGTTTCATAGTAAACTTCCGATAGATTTTTCGTCAATATTTTTGGCATAATTAGGTCACACGGAACAAAAAGTATATTCCATTGAAACACCCAAGATATTATTTTTGTTACTTTCATCACTTATTTTCATCGGCAATCTCGACTTGTTAGAATAACCAATTCCTTTGAACTATATTGTGAAAAGTGGATAAAGAGGAAAGGTGTCTGTAAATTATCATTTATATGAAATCCTTTGGGTACCTTATGCATAGTCATTATCTAACTTTTTCGAATTTTTCCCCTATTTTTACTTTTGAAAATGAAAATTTCCTCTCGTTTTCGCTACAACATTCATGAAAAGAAGTAACAGATTCTTATTTTATAACATTTACAAATATTTTTGTAGATTGAATGATATTATAGTGTAGAAGGGTGTACCCTATATACTGTCCTGGCTCTATCGGACGTCATTAATCGTGAATTTCCGATGCCAGTTGGTTGCTAGAATATTCAACGTATCTATACTATTAAACATCCACTTGAATGTAATCGAGATCAACGATCGTAAACAGAATGATGTGAGTGAATTTCTAAATCGACGTCAATCTATAATTGATGTCAAATGAAAAATTATTTATCATTATTTGACTTTATGTAAATACATTTCTTAGATTAATATGCTGTTTAGATGATTAAAAAAAGGAGAAATAATATTTTTTCAATGTCCAGATTATTTGAAAATATAAAAAAAACTCATTACAATACTTTTAATAATCTGAAAGCTTGTATTACTAGCGAATATAAAAATAAAACAACGTCAGAGATTGTTCACGAGTCATTATCTTTAACGATTGAAATCTAGTCATTGGCGTTTTACGAACGGAAGTATAAAACTTTGTGATTAAAAAATAGATAGCTGACTATCGTGAAGCACCTTTTTTACGTAGCCATTGCGTGATCCATATTGAGAACAAAGCTAGAGCTTTTAGCATCCAAAAGAATACTACTTATACGATCGTTAAATGTATACTAATGTTTAACAAATTTATGACATTAGTGTGGGCTGCAAAAGATAAGAGGAAAAATCATTCAATTTCAGGTTGAAAAAGTGCCTTTAAGAAAGCTTTGAAAATTGATTCTTTCTATTGGATGTAGGTTCTCTATTTTGAAAGTCAAATACTAAAAGATGAGAATAAATTGATAAAAAATTTTCTCTGATCAGAATATCGGAAAAATTTTGAAGGTTTATTATTTTATTTTGTTCAAAAAGAAGTTTAGATAGATTCTTTAAGAGCTTATATTATTGAAAGTTAGTTGATATTTAATTTTTATTTTATTAGTATTAATAGATAAATGTAATTTCAACCTTTTTTTACCAAAGTTATTGAAAACTTTTTAATTAAATCAATCCATTAATTACTTTGGTAAAATGGTTTCAAGTTAATTCAGCGACATCAATATCTTTAGACAATCATGAATATCACTTACAATTAGATGTTATGATCATGATATAAAAGATTGAATTCTACCTATTTTATGTGTTTCGATGAAGAATAATAAATAAAATAATTTTTAAAGATTTTATTGGATTGAATAATTGTTTTTTTTCCTTTTTTTTTTTGATATAGAAACTTGTATACTTCTTAATACTTATATATAATTAATTAGACTCATAATTCAACGACTTGGAGTAGTTGTGACACTTATAGGGATGCAATTTGTCGATATATAAACAGAGAAACCATTTGAAGTTCAAGTATAGTAATTAATTTCTCAATTACGTAATTGCACGTTGAGAAAGTATCAAAGGTTACCAGCTGCATAACTAATAACTGGAAAACTCAACATTAAAGTGTTTCCAATACCCTAAAATACATACTCCTTCCAAGAAGTAAATGGAAACATGTAATCTAGTGACATTTGCAGATGGTTCATTTGATTCAAAAGGAAATTGATTAAAAATCAAATGGAAAGTTGTAATTTCTATGATACTATATTCAATACAATTTATTTGTAAGTGAAGAAAAATTTTTAAATTATAAGCAAAGTTTCAATAACTTGTGAAACTTTTTAATAAAACGAACCGGGAATAAAAATACATTCAAACCCAGTTATTCCGATTAATGAATAAAATATAATAGCTGATAAAAAATGGATTTGATGATTATTGGATTTAATATTAAATTAAAAAGTCTTTTTAAAGTGATCAATAAAATGTTGTGTTTATTTCTTAATCTTATATTGATTACTTAATAAATAATATTCAACGAACAAATGATAATTTAACTAATTAATTAATTTTTTTACAAACTCAATGAATAAAGAAGCTTACAGGTTAAAATAAGTTGGATAAAGCTTAATTATTTGATTATGACACATTAAAAGCTTTGTTTTTGTTATCAAGCCTTTACAATTAATTAATTAATATATATTTAAAAGCTTTCTCATTATCATTCACAATGCACAGTATGACGGTAGAGCCGATGAGAAAGAAACAAATGAATATTCAACACTATTTTATATACGTTATAAGAGGATACATACGATAATGAGACTAATATAATGAGTATCTATTTATTGGATTTTCAATGTAATATTAACAATTGATTGCACATTTGCAATTTTCATAATTGGAGTTAGCGCAGTAATATTATTTGCGGGAAAATGCAATTTTTGTTTTTTATTTTTGGCACTTCTCACATCAATTTTTCTCATTATGTACATTATTTATTTCTAACGTTACTTAAATATTTATTTATTTCATTTCTCTTACAACGATTGAAACCGTACTAACGACTGCTCTTTATGTTTTTAATAGCAAGCTATATTATAACAGTTTTAATAACATATTAATAATATTTATACACTTAAATCAAACAAAGTTTTTACATTCAACTATTTACAAATTTTTCTCTTTATTTATAAATCTGGGATATCAATTGCATGCACGCTACAACATTTAACATGTGTACAATCTCGTTATTAGACCACATTTTTTATTACTATAATCACTCTTATCAATTTTTATGTCATGCTCACCTGCGGGCATGTTTTCCCAGGATATCAAGGTATTTGAGATTTTTTATTCTTATTTTGAGCACCAAAGACATATTTTTCACGTTATTACTTCTTTCCTACTGAGAGAAAAATTTTTTTCACTCAAAATAAAATATTTTCAATGTGAATTTTTATCTTTTACTCACTTGTGTTCACTTGAATATGTTTTTATCTTGTAACAGAAAAAAAAATTTTTCTCTCTGTTAAAGATGATTATTTTTAACATCTGATATAATGATTAATCACAATAAAAATAAGCAATAATACTTTCAACATTTTTATTTTCCTTAAATGTATCATAAAATTTTATGATCATTATTATGTTTGCCTTACAATTTTTTTATTAAAAAAAATTACTCTAAACAGTTTTAGGACAGTCATTTATTCTCACTTAATTAAATTCATTACTTTTTCTGTTAGATATATTTTAAGTTTATCTTTTTAAGTTTTTAGTCAGATAGATATGCGAAAAGATGAACATGTTTTTTTGTTTCTTTATTTGCACAGCATTAAAAGTAGTATTTTTTATATTTATATATGTTTACTTTTGTTTTTTTCATTTTTATTTATTTTATTATTAATTTATTTTTACTTCCTATGCGGAACTGTAGGCCGCGGAATATTCCATTGGTTGTTCGCAATTCATTGAGTTTGCCTGATATATTTACAAACGTATCTAAATGTGTATTTGTTGAATTTTTTGGTCTACTTGTAAACCTAAAATAGGAGTAATCAAGTAAAAAGTAATGTTAATCCATCAGCTATAAATAATTCGATATTTTTTTGCTTTATCCGTAAATTGATTGTTTTATTTTTATTCAACATAAAATATCTTATAATCGAAAAATTTATTAATAAAGATGTTACTCAAAAATTGACGGGATTGCTATTAAAAAATGGATCGTTAAGTGGAAAGTTGCGGTGAAAAATTAATTACAATTCTACATTTAAAGTTTTGATTGTCATGGACTAAATAATGAATCATTCTTTTCTTGAAAAATAATTAGAATTTAAAAAAATTTCATTCTTTATGTTATCATTTATTTCAATATAAACAGTATGATATTTTTTATTTTGAAAAGTTGGAATGATACTAAAGCGTATTGACAATACAGAATATATTTAATTGGCGTAAGATATAGATATTTAATTAGGTCTTCAATTTAGGCATTATTTAAATTGGAAAATTCATGGAAAAAAATCTCCAAAAATCCAATTAAAATTTATGCTATAAAAATTAATTAGCACAACCATTAAAAATTAGTTTCTATTTATGTACAATATTTATATATGTATATTTAGATGGGAAGCTTAATAATAATCAGTGTGCATAAATAAATAAATAAATAAATAAATAGTGGAATGAAAATGAGTAATACGAAAATTCAGTGATTGCAGTTGATGCCATAGACGTGTTAGGTAAATTGCTAGAATTCACGTAGCGTGGTTGTTCCACCATGCAATCCAGCCGCTGCTCGATTTTATGCTTATTAATCGTAATGCGTGTCATGAGTATAGCTCGATACGCTTTAAACGCGCGTTTCATCGTCGTCGGTGGCATCACCGCGATATATAACAGCGTCACCGAGTAGTATCTCTGTTACGCTTGGCTTAACATGGACTGTGGTCGCTCACGCATCGCTTAACATAATCCCCCATCCAACTGGTACTACATAGATTACGCAATGATACCTCCAAAATGTAAAATTATTAGCACAAGGTGATTTAGTCTGGCACAATATAATGCGTATAATACACGCACTTTTCTCTTTTTTTGTCCCGACTCATAATTACAACCCTTTTTTACACACATCCAAAATCCCACACATTTTATATTATTATTATTATTATTCTGAATCATTTTTTTCCGAATTTGAATTTAATATTCGCTGGATTTAACAAGTTAATAATTTGCCAAATTATTAATTATTATTATTAATGATGATAATTCGTTGTTGACTTTGTCATTTCCAATTGGATAATTTATTTTAAATTAAAAATGAATATTGAGGAATAGACACGACACGAGAGTTTTGAGTTGATGAAAAAAAAGATATTCAATGACATGTGGCAATGGTATTACTTTTACTCACAGTCTTACAAGCTCATGAAAAGCCTCAAGAATCAGGATAGAAGTGTAGAGTGAAGTGAAGACAAGATACCATTTTTCACAATAGAATCATTAATCTTTAGCACAGTTGTTGTCTTCTGGTCTCTTACTCTTTGTCCCTTGTGTGTTGTGGGTGTGTCACACCGGTGCACAGACTAAATTTCCTGAATTTATGTTAGATAATGAATATTTCCGACTCATGGTAAGCCACCTTGCACGCGGATACAATTCTCTGTTGATTGTAGAGCTTGCGTTGACTGGAAGTTTCGAGAAAGTCGTAAAAAAAGTTGTTAAAATAGTAAAAAGGAAGTAAAAGATGATATTATAATAAAGTATCCTCTTAAATGGATTAAAAAATTCATCACAAGAGAAAATGTCTTGCGACTAAAACTCGTCGGAAGTACTTTTTTTTTTTTATTTAATAAATTTTTTATATTTTTCACTTTCTTCATTCAAGTCTTTGGTATGTTGTTATGAAGTTGGGGCTATAGAATAAAGCCATGGATAATTATGCAGAAATGATGGAGATAATGTGAAGATAATTTTGGCCTTAATTAACGTGCTGAGGCATGTAAGGAGGCATGTAAGGTCCAGTGAGAATATACTGTACTGCAACAACCATCAACTGGGGTGCACTCCACCTGATGCTGTATATGCTTCCTAGAACATAAATAAATAATTCACTTTTTTACATTATTGACTCGTTAGTTTTCTCTTAAAAGATGCAAAAAATGAGCAGAAATGGGAGCCAAAACAAAATGAAAGAGGAAAACTCGAGGGTATCAGGAAGGAGAAAAAGAGAGAGGATTTTTCTTGGAAAGTTAGGTGTACTGAGTCCCATGAGTGCTGGCTGGGTATCTAAAGCATCTTGGAAACGAGAGTAGTTCGAACCCCAAGAGTCGATGATCGTGGCTATCGCTTTTCTACCGTATCTATCCAGTCTTAATGGCATAGTCGAAGGGCGTATCCGATCTCTAGTGTTGATTTTTTATATTTAAGTACACTTTTTAATTTTTCATGATAAGAAAATTCAGTTTAAGATAAAACTCCATCATGACGTGAATCACAAATTATTTAATTTCCTCTTTTTAATTTACTACATTCAATAAACATAAAAATATTACATTGATTTATTTATCGTAATATCTTATTTTCCTCTAATAACATTATCCTCAGAAAGAAATAAAATAATTTAGTATTAAATCCCTTCATTTGTTGAAATAAAAATATTTTTATTCAACAAATGGATATTTATTAGTATGAAGACATTAAAAGTTTCAATAACTCATAATAATAGTGCTTAAGATGCTCAATAATTTCTCATTTTAATAGCAGAAGATAATAATAATAATGTAAATAATTCAAAGATAATATTATTAGACATCCATGTAAATATAAATGGGAAATCCTATCGTGACGGCTCATATACTATGATGGTTTTCATTTAATCTACAGAACATGCGGATGACACGAGGTGAAAATTTATATTCACGTGTATCTCTTGGGTGGAAATCGCAAGAATAAAAATTCTTCGTGCGACTCTTGACAAGAAACGTGACGTTAATCATCGCAGTAAAGATTCAGTGTGTCTTGGAGAGCAAAGAAGGATAAAAGCGTTGATATTTCTCTCGAGAGTATCTAAGCTAAGGATATAAGACAAGTGGTGGTGGGGTAGTGATACTACTTGACAAAGCTACCATATGAGTACAAGATTAATATCCATGGAATTAGGTTGGGGTACAACGTAAATTACTTGGTGTAATTAATTTACATGGTAATTTATATGATGTAGAGTAGAATGTAATTGTGATGAGTACATACAAGTGTACTGTTTCTTGTCAAATCTTTCCTTTATATTCAATGCAATCTACAGAGTAGCTTTCAGTATTTTTTATGTCTCTTTTCATCGTTTTTTCAAGCTTCATGCTAGAATTCCATAAGAGTCCTCGCTTTCGTCTGACACTTGAATCTTCGTCGCGAGCAAGTACAACTCTGACGAATGAGTTTCACTCGCTCTGTACTTCAACCAATTTACCTGCTCGTAAAAACAAATCAATTTCGCAAGACAGATCTTAGTAACTTTATTTTGTGACATGTCTAAAGTAAATGTTTCTGTATTGTTTTGAGATAATCATTAATTAAGGTTAATTATAATTAATAAATTGAGTTACTCTGTGTGTGGATCATTGAGAAAAAAGCATCTCCACTACATAAGCACTAAACATTAACATGTACTACTTGGTATATTGCAATTTACTGCATTAAAGTGCAACTGGCGTAGAGACCATGTTAGTTACTGAAATAGCTTACAGCGAAAGAGGAAGCAAGTAGTACTAGAGAGCAGAAAGTCTTTTGCAAGGCGTCGCAGGTTAACTCGGCCGAATAATATTGTCGCGCAATTTGTTCAACCACCACCGGGCCATTAGTACGAGAACGGAAATTGGGCAGGAGAATTGTTCTATACATTCTCCACTTTACTGTTTTATTTTTCTCACATTCTTATTTCTATCCAGATAAATATTTGCTTTTAATTGGAGTTAACCCAGAAATTTGCCAAGAATAAATATCCAATCGATCGACAAAATAACTCTCTATATATTCTTTAGACTTTATTAAATTATTTTCATCTTAAAACAAAGTTCAAGTACATTTTCATTTAATCATTTTTTATTATGATTTTTAAATAATAGATGAAAAAAATCTCTCTTCATTATGAATTTTCTTTTCTTTATAATTAATGATGGAGGAAGAAGAAAATTCATTATTCATGTATTCATAGTAAATTTATGTATTATAATATATATTTTTAATAAAGACGTCATACAACAATGTACTTTTCATTATAAAATATATTATTAAGAAATTATCACTAATTATTTCAACTAATCAAAGCATTTATAGAAGATTATTATTTATTATAATAACGTTATTTAATACAATCGAATTTTTTACTATACTACAATATAATTTGTTATTGAAAAAAAAAGAATGAAAAGTTGAAATTCTTGATTCAACTTTTTGATAGTAGATGTAAATTTTCTATAGAAAGTTTCGATCTAGACCAAAATGAAGAACGTTCATCTTAATTAGCATAAAATTTAGCATGCATTGGAACATAATCGTCTTAATTTCAATACTTTTTTACTGCATTAGCAATGAAGAGCGATAATGGACAAAGTTCTTAAGAAAGTGGAGTTTATTATGGGAAGCCACATGGACAATTTATCGTCCAAAGAAGAATCTAGAAACTGAGAGGAACCATAATATATGTCAAAGAAGGGCGTACAAGTATTTCTTAGGTCTCGTGTTTGATCCAAGACAGTTTGTTGGAAGTTGGGACACCGCGTGATCACCGGACAACCGCGATGAATTGCTTTACCCTCGAGTTTGGACAACGTTTGCCAGCTCGACGGGTCATGAAGTGATGTGGAATGTTCTGAACAATGAAAGTACCTCATCTTGATTTCACGAGAGTTTACTCATGAGAGTAAAACTGGATGGCTGCAGTTTATAAAGGAACATTGATCTTTGAGAGTTTTCAACAGTTATTCAACGGAACTTGATCATTTAGGAAATTTATCTTGCAACTTATTTCCACCGAGGTTCCCGAGAAAAATATATTAAGTTTTATAGGAGAACTTGATTACGATTAATTCTTTCTTTCTTTTTGTTTTCTATTTAGAGTATTGTATATAGGACGCAATTTGGTCAACTGTTGGCCATTTGCCTGCTACCTGCTACGACGCTAGAGGTAGAATATTTTCATTCGAAACTCTTGGTAATTGCATACGCAACGAAGCGCCAGCCATTTCGCCAAAGTACTTGTATACATATAATACTCATACCATTGTTGTATTCACAATGAGGAGGACACTGTAAATTTCCTTAATTCAACAACATTATTTCTTTATTGCTCATAAAATATTTCCTTCATTACTAATTTTTTGTTCTGCTCTTCGAGTTTATTAAAATTCTTCTTGCCATTTTCATTAGTGAAAAACATCTTTTTCCGCCAGCAGTGAAATACAAATAAATGTTTAAATTAATATGAATATTTTACCATCAGTCACAGTGATGTTTCAAATCAAAAATATACTTTATATTCAAACTATTATTTAATACTTAAAAAAAATCAATATTTTTATTTAAAAGTAATTGTAAGATGAAAAATTCATTAAAATTAACTTTAATCTTTAATAGAAATTTTATCAACCGCGAGCTTATCAGTATTAATTCGTCCATTAAAAATGAAAAAGAAAAGGGAAAAAATAAGAATGACTATCTTCTGGTTATCCTGACTTTTTATTTATTTTTTATACAGACAAGTCGAGGACTAAGTTTAAATGAAAAGAAAAAGGTTGGAATAAAAGGACAGTTCGAGAAGGTGAAGGTAGTCTTAGTGTAGAAGGGAGACAAAAAAAGAAGTAAAAAATAGAGAAGTTGTGATACAGGTAGCTGGTAGAGGAAGAGGATGCTGCAAAGAAGATTGGAGATGGGGAAAAGTTACTAAAGGAAAGGGTATACAGAGTAGTGAACGATATAGCTATATCGTTACCTTCTATGTAACATGGCTTTCTCCTTCTATAGTATCCCTTCGCTACCACCCTCGTTTCTAGTGCAACTATGAGGTTTATCTTATCCCAACCTTACGTGCGGGCAGACCTTCGGCTTATCTTTCAAGAGACACTAACGGAGAAGGACGATCGGGTAAATATCATAAATGCGCATTATATCAACCGACAAGCACCAAAAATACTAACTTTAATCTTAGCATATTAATACAGGATTTTAGAAACTTCAATATAATCATTCTAAAAAAAACACTTTACTTAAAGTACTCTAATTTACGTGAAAAGTAATATCGCGTTCAGAGCTTCTTCAAGGACTTTGTGGAAGAAAAAAAATTAATTACGTATTAGAAGAGAATCCAAAAAGTTCTTGGTTATTCACCAAGTTTATTTAATATTTCATCGAAACATCAATCTCTTTTTTTAAAATTTAATCCTAGTTTTTGTAATAAAAATATAGAAAAATAATTGTATTAAAATTTTTATGTGTCAAAGGAATGAAATGGAAATAGTCGACATATCAAAAACAATTTGATTCAGTAAAAAAAAAAGGCAAAGAAGTAAAACAAATTTTTTGAAATAATTAAAAAAAAAGTAAAAAGAGTTTTATAAGAATTTTAATGAAATAATTAAATTAACGAGAGATTAAAACAAAAGTAAATTTTATTGTTAGCAACGGCAAGTAGGAAATATGAACACAACCCGTACAATTAGTGGATACGGTCTGTATGACTCAGACGCGGCTGGTGGAAAGCTTCCAAGTAGTTTCGAGCATGTTACAATGGTTTGTAAAGTAGAAACAGCCAGGTAGACGACTGAGGTATGGAGAACTGGTCAGTCGTTAGTAGCAGAGTTTCTAATGTGGGTCAGACTCTGTTGGATACTTTATAATAAGTTAATAGCCGACATAATAAATTGCAGACAGTGATTTGATCAAGTTAAAATGCTATTGCGTGTTAATAAATAACGAAGCTAATATGCCAACTGGTTGAGAAATTGTATCCAAGTACTTGGAGTTTTAATATGTGCGTTCATTAAAATATTACTGAATATATTACATTGTTTTTAAGAGTGATTGAATTTATATTATTTACTCAAATTTATATTTTAATGATTCCAAAATGATATTTTTAGTAGAGTACTGTTAGCTGCTTCATCAAATGATTATTCATGGAAATACATGAAAATACTTGTTCATCTGGATACCAATAAGTGTATTATGAAAAATAATAATTTAAAATATATTTTGATATTAACTTGATATAAATTTAGATGTAAAAAACCTAAAAAGACTACAAGTCACGCCAGATCTCGCTGACGTTTGTCAAAGGTATATATCTTGAGCAAACTTTGAATGACGTAGAGATCGGAAAGAGCTAAACCGGATAATCTTTCGAGTGTGTTCTCGGTGGTTCTTTACTTGAATGCAGGCATTGTCGATCTTTTATTTATTCACGTTTTTATTTTGCCATAGAGAGCTGAGTTCACGAATCCTACACCCAAACTCTAGAGACCGTACAGTATAGTGTGGTTAAGAAGGGACTGAGTTACGTGCTTTGCATTGCTGTAACTTGGTTTCCATAGTTTCTTCGTCACTTGTGAGAGAAAAAGTGAGAGAGGTGGGGAAAGAAAAAGAAAACCCGCAGAGAAATGATGTGGTAGTTTGACGCGTACGATTGCAATTCCCAGAGGCAGTGCGTGCATCCACTCGCTTTTCTACACTTTTATGTATCAATATAAAAGATGATTGACACATTTTCACTAGGGACATTGATTTTTTTTTCTTCTTTTAATAAAAAAAAAAAATTTTTTCCTCAATATCTGCAAATTGTCAATGGCTTCTAACGAGTATTTCCATTGATTTCAATTCAGAATTATCAGTGAATGTAGATGAGTCTAATTGATTACGATGTTCTACAAAAAATATCCCATTTAGACTAAAATTAGTAATTGGTACAGAGACAACATATTTCATTTTTTATTAGCATATCAATCTCTTCAATGATTACAGAGAAAAATAGAATTGAATCTACTCTTTAAATGTTTTCTAAAGAATGATTTAAGTATGTATCAATAGTAGTCTTACGATAATAAAAGTTCGAAAATGAGAAAATAATTTTTAAAAAAGTGGTACAAATAGTCTAGAAGGATTGTTTGATAAAATTTAATCATTTGAGAATAGTTTTTATTTCCAACAGATCAAGTGGATCAATATTGCGAGGTCGGGGCTGTGGTAATGTTGAAATATTTCACAGAATTGTAGTATGGTCGTTGAGCAAACACGTTTGGAGGCTAGGGTATGCTAGGGTATACTAGGATACCAGTAGCAAGCACTTTTGTCCCAGGGTATTTTCGACGATAAAATCGACTATTTGGCAAATTGATCTGATGCTATTTCTTGCGATAGAGCTCGACATGTTTCTCTTTCGGATGGCCTGAAGAGTGAGGGAGTAGAGAGGTAATGGTTACAGTTAACTCGATTGATGAATGCACAGGTGTTGGAGTTGATATAGATGCGTCGTTAGAAAGACGTGGTTTGGTGCAACTTGGATTCTAGAACAGAGTCACGCTTTGGATAATATTGAGAGGAGGAAACAGTTGATATATAGAAGGTTCAAGTACGAGATACAGCTGGAATAGCAAGGGAAAGGCTTGTAAGAGGGCACAAGGTTGCGAGTTAATATTAACAAGAGTATCTAGTGGAGGTAGGATAGTAGAGTGAATGCGCGAGCGTGTTGTTCCTACGTAATTTCCTACTAAACGTACGATGGGATGAGCATACATATTTTAGGTCGTTTGAACCAACGTAGGATGAGAAAAGAGATGGTGGTACATATAATTTTGTATACGGACGAAAGCCCCCAAGCATTATAGTTATCGAAACATAACTAAACAACTTTATGAAGCTCTTCGAAATTTAGCAATATGGAGATTTGCCATTTTGATTTGAACACGTGATGATGTAAATTTAATATTATCATTAATTCTACTTTCTACTTTGTACAATCATTCACATCTAAAACTGATTTACTCAATTCAATTATTTCTTCACAAAAAAAAAGAGAAAAAAAAGTAAAATGATAAATGAGAAAATATTTAGACTCTCAAATTTTACACATATTATTATAGTTGTAGATTGGATAAAAAAAATACAATGTATCTTAGGTAAAAGGAATGGATGTTTGATAAAACTTTTATAATACAAGTTTTCCTCGATCATGAATCCTGACTGCATTCTCCAGAAATTTCCCTCGTGATTTCGTCTTATATTAATAGATATTTTCAAGATAAAAATATGGAAGAATTTCTTTACGAATATTATTACATTTTTTTTTTTAAATTTTCTTGCAAAAAAAAATTTACTCAAAGTCTTGATGATGGTATACAAGTTATAACGCTAGTGAAAAGTAGATGTTTTGTATGTAATTTTTTTTACTTTCCTTCTAACAAACATGAATAAAGTATGACTAAAGTACGTTAGAGCACGTATCGCTTTTCCTTCCAGACAGATACTCGTAGAAGAAACACTACCTTGTCGACTGGTACTTTTTTCCTTTTTCTTTCCGGAAGGTCCAGAACTATACGACTTTTTCAAGTCGTCTTGTCACTATTTTATTGGATAATATATTCTACTGGAAAGCAGTGGAGAGACTAAAAGATAGCCAAATAAAATAAGGAAATTCAGAGAAAGTATTGTTTACCTCTGTTGATGTTTAGAAGTTACACATATTTTTAATGCCTTCAGACATTTTTAATGTCTTCAAAAAAATTGACTGGCTTGGTGAGATTTCGTCACGATATCCACCAGACTGCTTTTGGTTTACATAATTTCTTTCGCGACTGATCTCTCTGAATAAATTTTTATAAATATTATCAAAATTTGAAGTATCATGCGTTGAAACATGCTTTGTGTTATCTCAAGCGGAATGAGCCGATTTTAGTCTGGCTTAAAGTTTTTTCATTAAAACTCATACTCTTCTTTATTGTTAAGAACGACACAGACATTAAGAGAGATTATAAGAAAATTGATAAAAGAATTTCATCCAAATGAAGTTGAATTGAATGAATTTTTTTCAATTCATTGTTGAAATAAAGCAGCTTGAATGTAATCACTGTTGTATTAAATATTTCTTTGTGTTCATGCTCAAGTATAATATTTCTTAAATTTTTATACCTAAGATAAAATACAAATAAATACTACTGAGATAATAGCTAAAAATAATAATAATAGGGAAGGAAAATTCATTAACGTATTATTTACAACAAACATCACCTGAAATTCTATAGAATAACAGGCCTGGAGGTAAGTTCATCCTCGGTAGAGTTTCAAGTGGAAAAACAGAGTTCGATCAGACGATGTTATAGCCGTAGAAAATGAGCTTATATGCATTATTAGACGCGAAAAGAAAGACTCTAAGGTAGATGGAAAAATAAATAGTTGGATTATATTTAAAAAATTCAAGACATTCAAACGAATAGCCAAGTCAGAATGGAACGCGTTGGCTTTAACATTTGATTTGGTTGGTGTTCTCTGTTACAGTGTAGAGGTTATAGTGATGCAATATTATAGCCTGGTTGCGGATAAAATGTAGATACATATAAATGTAAACATGAAAATAGAGAGAGAAGAAGAAGGAGACAATGAAAGAATGAAAGAAAGAAAAAGTCGTGTGAGAGGTGAGAATGTCTATATCCAATGGAATTGTCGTCAGTGAGCGCGTGCTTAGCGAAGTAGAACGGGAATGCGACAGTGCATGGTGCAGAATAGTGTATTGCAATAATCTTTCCGTTTTCTGGAAAAAGCCTCTGGAGGTAGCATGAACTGAAAGCAAAGGTTTTGGATGTTGAAAGGATGGAACAAAGACTATAGTGCTGAGGATGTCTTATTGGACTTCTTCTTTTTGGTGGTGAAGCAGACGAGCTAGGATGAAAAGGCGCATGGGTCGTGATGATGGTGGTGGTTCCTCACCTGTGCTCGTGCCATGCAGCTTTCTCTCCGGTCTCTCGACCTCCTTTTGGCTAGGCGGTGGCCGTTCCGTCCTTTTTGGATGATAAGGGTTGTATGCTGCTGGCCATATCGTCGTTGGTCTTCTAGGTGGTGTTGGTGTACTCGGTTGCTTGCCTGAAAATTAAGATCAGGACACCTCATCTACCACGTTCCAGCACCAAAGTCCTTGCGTGCATTCTCTCGCTTCTATCAACTTTTCAACTATTTTGTATCGTTGATAACTTACTTTTATTTCTTATTGTCATGCACTGTTGCTATTCCACACCATACAGAGTCGGACATTTTTTGTAACATCGATGTTTATGATTTAGTTGTTATATTATTACGTTTGTATGTTATGTTTTGTGATTAGAGTGAACATTAATCATGCATAAAACTTGTTTTAGTGAATAATGTGACATGATGAGTACACACGAAAAAAATACTCTGCTTTCACAATTCATTCAAGATCTATTTCTGCAATAGTCTTCCTCTCAAAGCTTACTTACATTACTGTATCTATATTCAAATTCGTTATATTAACGGAGCTTTTTTTCGTGTAATAATAACAATAATGTGTTCATTTAATTTTAGTACATATATATGGCTTAAAATGGTGTTTTTATGCTCATTTTTTCTACTTTGAATGAACTGTTTTTATTATTATTATTTTTGTTATTATTCAATTCTGATAAATCTTTTTATTTATGCTGCTTTTGATTGGAAAAATTGAAGAAAAAATATTTCTATGAAATGTATGTTTATTGAGAAACTTTTATAAAATAATTTTTTATTAAATAGTTAGCAGTATATGATGGCTTAAGAGCTTTCATGACACTGGATTAAATGAAGTGAACACCTGTGAGCATTATTTATATAATGATAATTTTATACAAAAGTCAAGTATTGACGTTGATGATTCATTTTTATAGTTGATGCTCAATCGACGTATGACACACTAAAAAGTTCTGAATGCACACTTGGTGCATAATGTATACGAGAAACACGGAAAAAGACATGAAAGAAGACAGATAAAATGAGTGCCAAGTCTCGAGAGGCGCGTGGCCTGTTTACATGGTAGATTGAAAGTTTCAAAGGCGATAATTTTGTATTCACAGCTAGGGCCGTATAGTTTGGCGTCATGTTCAGCGTGGGGCCTATCTCTCGTCGTTCTTATTTTTCTATGTTGAAGTTAACTATGTACAGTAGGCGGAGAAAGAAAACTCCGCTTAACACTTTACAGTTTCTTTTTTCTTTTTTAATTCCCTCATGAACGTTAAGCAATTCTCAAACTATAAAATATTAAAGTTTTAAATTTTTATCTAGTTTGACATTCGTTTGATCTTACAAAAAAAAAAAAAACATTTAATAAAATAGTTAAAAATATGCAAAATTTATTCATTTATTAGCAATAATAAATAATATTAGCAGCAATAATTAAGAATACGTTTTTTATTGAGAAGAAAATATGAGGACACTTTGAACAACTTTTTTTCATGGAAAACAAAATTTAAAACATAAATAACTTTTTTCTCTATTGTGAGTAAGTACCTCATTAAATATTTTAATTGAATAAAGAAAAATTTCTCAAACAATAAGATGCATTTTAATATGTATATTGTTGAGAATAATTTATTTCTTTATTAATTAGTAGAAGCAACCGTTTCAAATATGACACAATATTATTTCCAAGAAAATATAAAAAATATTTATAAAATAAATTCTATTCTAATTGTTAAACAAAAAGAAATGGCTAGCAATAAAAATCTTTCAAACTGACCGTAGATTGGTCTGTTCTCGTGATTGATGTTTTCCAAGTTGAAATGGTCGATTCAATAAAACAGGACGTGAAAGTGGGGTCGATAATCGACGACGGGAAAATAACGAGAGTTATCTGAGGTAAGAGTGATGGTTGGTGACCACCAACAATTACGTTTTAGAAGAGGCCATCATGATCAAGGCATTGAAGTCGTTGTCTCTGTACCAAGTATCAGCCCCGACTACTCAATTCCCATAGACATAGACTCTTGGTCTAGATGAAATTCTCTCGAGTTAGGAGCGATAGAGAGGAAGAAGAAGACCAAGAGAATACAGTCTCGATTCTGTACTCATGGGCTGGTCGACACAAACAGGCGCACACCTTTCAAGCTAGTTGCTAGCACCAAGTGACTAAAAAGTTTTCGAATAAAAGTTTAAATACACCTACAAAGTTTGTTTCAACGCGGCACACTGGGTTGCAAGGCTGGATATCTCGAAGGGCTGGGCTGATAGGTACACAGTTACCACCACTGATGCTACTCCAAACAATATGGCCGTCGGGAGACCTGTCTCTATGCTAAGAGTATGTGAATATATTACTTGGCTCGCTACCTTATGCGCAATCACACTTAGCCCGTATTTCACAAGCCACCTCTTTGTGTCCGTTGTCTCTTTTGTCTCGGTGGAATTTGTTTATAGGTTTTTCTTTTTTCACATTTTCATGGGTACATACGACGTAGATGAGTCAAAAGGTAACTGCTCTTGCTAACTTGAATATTTCCTTTTGATTTATAAGGTATTGTGAGAGTTTCAGTCTTCCTTAAATATATTTCATGTACATAATGGTTTTTAATTAATTGAAAACTTTGAAGACAGTCGACAAGTCATTGTGTAGACGAACTACACTCCTCGGGACACCTACCATCATTTTGCCAATAATTAATTAGGACCGAGGATCGATGAACAATCCGCAGGGAGGTACTGACTCATTATGAAACACTGTACTCCCATTGGGGTAATTCCAACACTCGACTGATGTAGAATACAGATGCCAACGCCTACCTATCCGATTCATTTGACTATACGCTGTATGATGCACTCTCTATGTTACTCTCTCCACTTCTCGATGCAGTGGCCGTAAGGGAATTTTCTATTCTCAAATCCTGCATTGGATAACTAGCTCTAATGTAACGGTCACTGCTCCACTAGAATTCATTCGTGAAATCACTCCATCATTCTTCTCCTTCAGCTCATTTTATATTCTTTTTTTTTTTCAACTATTGCTTCATCTCATTTCAATTGGAACTCTGTTTTATGCTGTAATATTCCAATTTCAATATATAATAATTGATTTGACAATTACAAAGTGCTTGATAGGCGACGTTGTGGATAAATTGAATATTTATTTTGATAATAGAACAAGAAAATGGTGAGTTCATAGAAGATTATTTAATTTTCGATTAATTTCGAGGTTAAAATTAGTTGAAAATCATTATAATATTTATAAATTTTTTTTTTTAAATATTTGAGATAATTAAAATATTGACAATAACAATTCTTTATTTAAAAAAAAAAAAAAAAAAAAAAAAATTTCATCTATATGTTTATTATATTTTTACCAACATCATTTTCATTTCTCCAATTTTTTCGTTTAGCTTTTTTACTCTTTATATGGTATTCAATAATCGCGAAAAGAACCAACCATCTCTATTCTCCAGTGATGCAGTTGAAATTGGCTAGAAGATTCAGGAGTGACATCTTTTTTTTTATTTTTCTACTTTGAAATTATATTTGGAATTTTTATCAGTAAAAACGTAGTAGCCAGCAGTAAATTTTCAACACCGAAGTATACAAAATGTCAGGAAAGGAATAGAGAACGTGAGGAAACAAAAGGTAAAGAGCAAGAAAGAAAGCAAAAATAAAGAATGAGTAAGAGCATTTATTATAGTCTCTCTAGGCAGCAACGTTATCGCTCGTTTCTTTTCCTCGTTCGCGTATTCAACTCGCGTCTTACTAGTTTTTTCCTTTGGACGTTCTCCTTCTAGTAGGAAGGTGAATGAGAAGAGGTCGGTGAGGCCCCATCTAAATTGGACTTTCTACGATTCGTTTGTAAGATAACAATAATAGAGCACCACCAACCCATTTCATCTTTTTTTCTTGTTCTCTCTTTCCTTTCGCACTTTGTAGAAAACCCATCTTGTGGCACTCGTCTTGTCTTTATCCCTTCCATCTCTTTTTTCTACTTTTATCCTCCTCGTATTTTTTCATGGTGATTCAATTTAAAATGCATTTAATTAGGTCATCAGACAACTAACTATGTAACGTGAATAAAATAAAAATTAATATAAAATTTCAATGCTAATAAAATTATTTTTAAGACTTGAGAATTTTAAACACTCTCAATTAATTTACATGAAAATAAATGTATGTACTTTTAATTATATAAATTTCTTTTATTCATTAATAGTTAAATTTTTACCATTTTTTAAAATTAATAATTTACTGTATGTCGACGTTTAAGAAATTGAGAAAATTTATTTAAAAATAATGCAAATAAATTTATAATTGAATTAAGTATTGTTTTTACAACTATATTAAATTTTCTTCGAAGAATAAAATTCCAACAATTTCTTCGAGGATTTAATTATAAATTTTACCAATAAAAGCTCGAAGAATTTGTAATTAATTCAATTAAATCTCTGAATAAATATTCACAAATAATTCATTGCTTCTTATGAATCTTCTTTTATATTAATATTATTTTTATCAATTAAATTTATGTTTTTCATCATCCTAAAAAATATGATAGATAAAATTCTTAATAATGTGTTTGAAATAGTACTTAACACTCCTTTCTCTGAGTATATCTTATAAAGAAAAATTTTTTTATCAATATAAAATGTTTGTTAAAAAAGTAAGCTACTTTAGCTTTTATAACATGCTTTAATATAAAATGTTGAGTGTAAAAGAAGTCGAGCAGAATATAGAAAATCGTGTTACTAAATTGATTTTTCTGTGCACGTAAACATCAATAGAAGTATTTGCAAGAGGGTTTCACTTGGTGATATTCGAGGAATACATTTGAAATATTTTATTGAAATCCACAGAGATACTTTATACTAAATAAAAGTGAAGAAACAGAAACTTTATCAAAGAAAAAATATTAAATTAACAATAGGCTTGATTTTTCAATATATCCTTCTTTACGATGATTTTTTGTGATGGTTTATTTTTGCATGGAATAAAATTGGAATAATGAATTTCTGAAGTAGGTGAATCTTGTTCGACTATTGAACCGTGAGAAAACAAGGAAGAATCGATTTATTGATTTATTAATTGAAAATTTTCATTCAAAACTATTCCTTTTGTATTTAATTCCATATTATTAATAATCAATGTTTAAATGTATAAAAGGAAAATTCGATTATACAGACATCCATAGAAATAGCTATTAACTTAATGAATTCTCATCTTCACAAAGATCAAACTGTTGAATTCAAGTATTCATTTCCTTTACTATATTTTTTAAAACTTTTGATATTACAGTGCTGAAAAAATATACTACTGCTGCATTAAATCAGAAATCCAAAGACATCATAGAAATTAGTGATGATTAATTGAAAAGTGAAATATACACATTTTGAAAAATCTACCGAGTAATAAAAATCTAGGCTCCATTTTCCTCATTCTAATTTAATTTCTTTCTCAACAACAACAATAATAATAATAATAATAATAAAACCAAGAACAAATAAGGATAAGAAAAATTTCATAAAAGCACTACGTTGGATAATATTCGTAGTGGTTGACTTTGCATGGGCGTTAATAATGCAGCATATTAAGATTGGTTCCGTTGCTATTCGCTTGCCAACTAAGGCAAGGAAAATGAAAATCGAAAGGTAGAGAATAAGAACAAAGACGAGAAAATGGTGGAGTAAGAGAAGAAGAGGACCTTATATAAAAGTAAAACGAGTAAAAAGAGGAAGAAGAAGAAGAAGAAGAAGGGAATGGAAACTACGGGGACCTGACCTAGCTATCCTCTCACAACTTATTCTACCTCTTCAATAATGAAATTGTGTTTATACTGGACTCCACAAATGTATATGGATTACTCCCCTGTTGATAGAACTTGCATTCACTATGCTCCTAAATTTTTTTTCTATTTTTAAATATTCATCTTGATCTACCTGATCAATTTTAGCAACTCACCCTCTTTGTTTGCACTGCTTTTGATTTCCGTTGCTGTTGGTGGCGATGAAGGTTGCGCCATTTCTGTAATAGGATTAAAATTAATCGTTTACTTTATCATCATTAATATATGTAATATTTTTTAATAATTATTAAAGTTTTTGTAATGAATAATGATGATTATATTGTAAGTTAATTAGGTTTTAATAAAATTCTTACCATAAATTCGAATGGATCCTTCAGTTTCTCCCAAGGAGTTTTTGCTGATGCATCTATAGCTTCCAAAATCACTGAATGTTAGATTTCGTATGGTCAGCTCCATGTCAGTTCTGTAGCTACTTTCCCTTATTATACTAGTATACTTTTCGTTGCTCAGTACCATAGAATTGTTGAAGTTCCAGTAGCTTATCGCTCGTGGATGTGCTTCTACGTTGCACACCAGGGTTACGTTCTTTCCAGCTGGTGCACCCATCAGCTGATTTGGCACGAATATCGTTGGAGGAACTGGAGAGCAACATGCAGATAAACTTTAGTTACATTCAAATGTTACCACAGGCTATTTCTAAAAGTACTTTTAAAGTTCCTAAACTTGCTCGATTTCCTCGGCTCTACTCAAGAAATATATTTTTTATTTCGTTCATTCTCCTCACAATGTATATTTTACTAGATCCAATCTTTTAAAACGTAACTAAAAAAGTCTCTGCAAAAATAAGGAAGAGTGAAGTTAAATTTTATTAACAAATGGAGCAAAGAAGAGAGCAAAAACGATTACCGAATCCTGAGTAATTTCGGCAAATGGATAAGCCTGGCTTTTCAAGGATTACTTGGTACATATGTGTTTCAATGAATATGAATGATTTTAAATGCACCATATATACTACTAACTTTATTACTTAACAGAAATGGAAGACTCATGGAGATGTATACTTTATTATGTAGTTATTTTCATGAATATCCTCGAAAATATTTCTCCAAAAATTAATCAGACATACACGTAATGAAATTTTTTTCATTATATCGACTTATCGATATGTTTCATTTCAATGATTCATTGAGAGATTTTTTCAGATACGTAAATATTAAAAACGTGAAATGTAAATGGAATAATTCAGGAACTCTAGACATCTGAAATAGCAAAGGGGAATTTGTGCACACAACCTGGTGCTAAAACATAGTAACTCGAGTAGAGGCATGAAAGTATGCACTAATTAAGGTCAGTGCGGGAATCTGTGGATTTGTGGAAAGCGCCTGGGGTAGGACATGCCATTGGTTCTATATTCGATGGTACACACAGAGGCCAAGTGAAATAGCCACGTTGAACATGCCAAACATAATCCTCGAACACCGCAGTGTTAATCTCACCAATCGTTTTGGACTCTTAACAATCAGCACCTGATTGTGGTTTGCAATTCATCTTTTTTGCTACCTGGTAATACTTTGATTCGGGTCATGTACAAGTTTTTATGGCGTACTATGTGGTTGGATGAAATGGAAAGAAAAATAATTTTGAGCGTAAAATGTGTTTTCCAGGTCGTAGAAGACAGGATTACCAGGTTAACACTGTGTTTATCGGATACATGAGCGGTCGGATGTGTGTACCACAGTGCGGACAAATAGAGACATCCAAAAGTAGCAAACACACATATATGTAGATGTAAATTTGTAGAGGGATGTCACCCTACCTTTTTCGACCGAGTCGTGAGAGCCGCAGTGTTTTCTCACTCGTCTGAATAAAATATGTCGCCAGGACTTGTAAATATTCAGAGAACACTGGCGCGCCTATATATGCTCGTGGAGGTAAAGGTGAAGAATAAAAAAGACCAGAAAGAGAAAGAAATAAAAGTGTACTGGCAAAGAAGGGATAAGAGAAAACAAGAACAGACACGTACGACTGAGTATGCAAGCTAGACTGACATGAACGAATGAAACGCATAAAAGGGAAAAATGACCAAGACCATTGGGGACACACCTTCTATTCTACTGCTTGTGTATTTCCCTTGAGACTGTGCAAGCTGATTCTAGGGAGTCAACCGAGGAGAGAATTAAATTTCAACAATGCGCGACAACATCCCTCAGGTTCAATTTTGGAATTATTTCTTGCTTATATATTTCATCTCATTTACATTTCACACAAATACATATATATTTTTATATTATTTATCTTTTGAATACTCGTCATAGAGCATGATGAAAAAAATTAGTTCTCTCTTTTTATTTCAAAAATCATTCAAGGAGTAGCATTTAGAAGAAGAACAAGCTGAAAGAGATATCTTTTAATGATAATTTATAACACAATATAATTACGAAAAAAAAAATTATATTAATTACCTAGACATAATTCCCTTGATCAATGAAATGATAAAAAAAATTAATAAGATAATTTAAAATATTATTGTGAGAAAACTAGATTTAACCAATTAATAATTTTCAGGAGTTTAATTTTCACATAGTAAAAAGCATAATCTAGTTAAATATTACAACAAATTACGGCCATAATTTTACTGTATATTTTTATAACTTACATTCCACGTCAACGATTATTCTCTTGCTAACTGTTGGAGGTATTCCATTGGTTGCAATACAGAGATAAGCTCCCATTTCTGTCCGTGTAATTTTAGTTAGATTAAGCTGCTCTCCGCTGTATTTTTCCACTGAAAATAAAAAAATGAAGATGAATATAAATTTAGTAGACATTTTTCAGCAATACAACAATGTACTTCATTTATATAGATTTGTTTGTTTTAAATGTAAAGTAATATTATGTACATTAGAAATAAGTTTGTTGAAATTCTGGAGATATTTTTCTCTCTCTCTCTACTTTCTATCTCTTGATCGCAGTACGATCGCCCCTTCGGCAGAGAACATTAAGAGCCAAAGTTTCAACGAATAAATCGCACTCGTGCCTCGTTTCATCAACTTCAACTAGTAATTTACGACTCAACTTTTGATGCCACTAGGACTGGCGACTGTATGAAGTGATTCACACGAGTCAGAAGAGGAGAGAGAATGAAATCTAGTGAAGAATGAAGTCTTACAAGTCAAAAACCCTTGAGAGATGTTCTAATTGAAAACTTTGACATTTTCAACTTATTGCTGTTCTTAAATAAATCATTTTATATTCGTCATTTTATTAATTAATGTATCTCTACCTTTTTTCTAACAGTATAAATAATCATAAATATTTCCTATTTGAAAGATAATTTTATTATGAAACTAATTTTTTAATTTATTTAATAAAGTACTAATTACAATAAATAACTAGTGGTATTAGAAAAAATAAATTTTTAAACTTTTTGTAAATTTATTTCTCTCTTTTAATGAATCAATCGATACGATTATGCATGACCTACGTCGTGCTTAATGGAAATGGATTTACCCACGGAAAATTTATCATGGATCTTTGCCAAATGCTATGATGAATTATTTACGCGTCTATAATTAGAATGAACGACTTACTTTACTCCAAGTTAAACTTCACAATTCTACCTATAATCGATCTCGATTGCCTTTATTTTTTTGCCAGCAAAATTTATGTCTTCTCAAATACATTTATATAAACATTCAAATAATTATTAGTAAAGTAATTTAATTGGTTAACTTAAGATTTGTCTTACTTTTTGTATAATGAAAAGTAATCTTTCTTTCATGAAGATAAGTTGGAGCTTTTAAGTTGATAAAATTTGTTACTATTTTGGTTAATTTGAACTGATATAAAACCAGTTATGAACATGAAATAATTAAATGGCTGTAAATAATGAATATAAAGTGTCTGGAAGAACAGGATATGTGAGAAGATATGGTTGATAAAATATTGAATAACGAATATTAAGTATCACGGTTCCTATGCACATATTGAGTAAAGAGTAGACAAGTATAGAATAGATAGTTTAATAATAATTTCAATAACGTAAGGATCACGTTGACTATAAGCGGATAACAAGTAATTGCCAACTATGATCGGCAACTTCATTCCACTTCCGTTATCGAATTATCGTCCATTAGAGTTTCACGCCATTGCTAATTGGTAGAGTCTCTCTTGCGTAGCTTGCGATAGTTGTACGATATGTTGACGGGTGCCACTCTCGTCTCTAATTTGGCGATTGCTCTGATGTTTTCCCTTTGCCATTTACTCTCCCCATCACTCAACCGTACAGGTTAATTAACGACTAATTTTTTCAACCAAGCCATATAAAATCAACAGCCATACTTTCAACATGTACCAAGAGAAAAATACATTTTTTCCATAATCAATAAATAATTGAAATAAAATAAAATCACTAGAGTACTTGAAAAAAATATTTTCAAATGAAATTGAAATAATTACAAATTTAATTAATAAACTGTTAACAGGATTTCCTTTGTTCATTTATTTAGTTTACTTATTGTTGCTTTTCACAACAATTTACTGACGATCGAATTGCCAATTAGGAAATAAGTGAGCTGAAGAGTAAATTTTAAGTAAAGTACATCAAGTTTAGTGCTTCACGGAAATTTCAGTGCGTTGAAGGGTTCGACTTCGAAGTATCGAGTAAAGCTATCAGGGATCGACGACCCCTCTCTCCCTCTTTCTACATCCCATTTCCGGCATCTCAACGTGTGCCAGTATTGTAGTGCTTAACTTTTAACGAGCACCAAGTTTGTCGAGCTGATGGTAACGTCGAATCCCGTCGTCGTACACATCATCCACTTGCGTCTAAGAGTTTTCAAGCTTGTTAGACGATATCATGATACAGAAGTCTCTTCGCACGAACGCATCAACTCTATTTTATTTTATTATATTATTATTTTGCATAATTATTCACTTATTTTGTTGTAATATTGAATAATTCTCCAAAAAGACATATATTATATCAAACAATATCATTAAATCATCAAATTTTTATCACCTTTGTAATTTTATAGTGTAGTTGTATGCAGCTTCAATTAAATGGAGAAAATTTGAATTTTTATTTTCTGATTGTTATTTTGATTCAATTGAATATCTAAGTGGGTTAAATGAAAGCACTTGGAATTAACTTTATACTGCTATTGAATTATCTTATATTTTCCAATAAATTTATAGGCAACATTCAAATAGTCTTTTATGGTAGAGAGTCTTTTTATAATAAAAAGAAGTACGAGTTTCTGAAGATTCATTCTTTGTAATTATATTTGTGTTATCTATTTTTAATTAGACGAGTTAATTTACATTAAAAAAAATACAAGATTTAAAAAAATTAGCCTCGAATTCTCAGACCAAGAATTGCCAGACGAGAAACCACTTCTTTGACTCTTGTGCATTTTTCAAAGGTAATATTCAACACTGATGTTTCCTTACGCCTTCGAATTCAAAGAAGAGGATGAAAAGGATAAAATGAGGATGCATAAACTGACAAGCACTCATCCGTAGTGTTTGCACAAATTTTGCGACTTTCTGCATGGGTTACAAATGTCTTTTGATATTAATGATGTTCTCTCAAAAATAAGATTCAACTTTCTGCAAATAAAAAATAAACATTGTGCATTTTATTTAGTTAGAATAGTTAAAAAGATACTTAGTTGATTTATTAGAAAAAAGAATTGTAATTATTTTTCATATTTAGCATCATAAGTGTGATGTTGAAATGTTTGAGAGAGATAATGTACGATTGTGGTATTTCAACAAGGTTGATAGCAATGTCAAGAGCACCTGAACTAAGGGAAATGATGTGTTACTATCAGAGTGTGATATTCTACTTATCCCATTCGTCGTGCGCGGTTCAGAATGACGAGGCCTACTGGCTTCATACCAGTTGGACGCACGTGCGACCAAGAATATAATTCACAGGTCGACGTGCCACGAGAGTAGTTAAGTTTTAATCCGTCGTTTCCAGTGACATCATGTACGTGCCTGTCGTGTTACCCTCATCCAGCCACAACGTCTTTTCCATGTACTATGTGAGGAATGTCACAAGAGCGTTTAATATACGCTTTCATTTTAAATGCAGAAGCTGGGTATTTAAGCAGTCATGACACGTATATACTAGAGAAAAGAACTCGACTTTTTTGCTTTATAATGTAAACGAACTTGCTTCTAGGACTAATTACATATTTAAAACCATCTACAAATAAACTTCCCTTTACTTTGAGATTTAAATATTTTTCATGATTTCATTGACTTATTTTTATAATGATTCATTTCAATATCAATATTAATAAACTGATTAAATATTTTTATCAATATGTTTTATGCCAGAGTCCTAAAAAACACCCACTTAATTTTTGATACTCTTCATCTAATATGACCACGATCACTTAGTAATTAGATAGTAATCGAATAATTCTGAGGCAGGGAAACATGATAAGGACCATATTTGGCGATGTTTCATTGCTACTTGAATTTACGTGAGTGCGTATTCTATAATGAATATGATTCCCCCGAAAATCCTAGCATAATCCTTTCTTTACACTTCACTATCGCCACAATGTGAATATAGAACGCTAATTGCACCACTAGTCTCTTTATTCACTGCTTTCATCCACTACATAATTGACACTAATCAGCTTTTCCGACCATTGCTCTGTGATGATTTGTTTGATTCATGACAATAACTTATTAAACACATTAATTTCTACTGGTAACTGAAAAACGTTACATCATAATGTGTATTTGAATAATTAATAAATTTATTATGACTAGAGTTACATAATTACCTTTGTTCCGTCTATCAATTTGGATTGATTGACCATCCTCTCGTCTCCACATTAGAGAAGGCTCTGGATATCCTTCTGCTTTACATGTTAATGTAAGATTCTGATGCTCTTTTACTGCAACTGTACTCTCAGAAGATAACGAGTCGTTGATGTTTGGTGGCACTAGAAAAATTTTTAATACAGTATTTAAAAATTATTATCAAATGCGAATAATAATATTTTCAATCTTTTATTCATAAGCTATATATGTATTAGTTTATAAAACTTTTGATATAATGTATTAAATTGGTGAGCAAAAAAAATTCTTATTTACCTACAACTTGAAGATAACCAACTTGGCTTATCATAGGAACAGTGTTTACTTGACACATGTAATATCCTCGATCTTGTTGTTGAACATTTTGAATACGCAGTAACCACGTTTTCTGCTTATCGAAGGATACTGTGAACCTTGGTATTTTCGTTACAATATGTGTATGGATGGTGAGAAGCATTTGGCGACCAACATGCAGCCATGCCACCTGAAACAATACATTTAAACATCTTAATCCATTCCCATAAGTTAACACTGACATAAACGAATGAGCTATAATTACTTAGATATTATGATGATGATGATTATTATTATTATTATTATTTGGCAAAGTTTGTAAAATTAATGGTTGGTAATATTAAATCAATATTTTTTGTTAAATCTCAACTTAAGTCTTTCTCAGTGATTAATTAATGCTTGAAAGTTTCTTAACTTCTAGCTGAGGTGTCGCATAATTTAGCTTCGAGTCGAATGCTATTATATACTGGCATTTTACTCGCTACTAGTTAAACTTTGTTTTGCTAGTTATAGTCAAGCTTATTCGACGACAAAGCTCGTCGTTGAGTTGTGAGAATATATGCGGTTAATTCACTTGAGACATCTTTCATATGATGTTTTTGTCTCTTTTAAGACTGAATAAAATCAACTCATTTCACACCTAATTTAATAATCATAAATAATTATAAATAAATTTTAATAGAATAACCACAGTAATAATCGACAAGTTAAGATTTATTATCAACCATATTTTTTCAAGTAATCAATTTTATTTCTTTCAATAAATTTTTTACTAATATTTTCAACTGTTTTTTTAGTTTTAAATAAAAAAAAAATCTATATTGTTAGCCCTAGTAAATTAAGAGCTCGGTAAATTCGACTTTACAACTGCAACAACTCGCTTGTTGTTTCGTCTGGTGATTCATGGTTATTGCTAGAATTTTGTTCTCGTCAGGATGTGTGTAAAATAAAAAAATAAAATTACTCAAATTTGCTAGACATATTGATTTAAAAGCGAGTAAAAACTGATTGCTAAAAATTGCCACAGTCGAAAAAAAAATATTAAAAGACATACAATGGACAATTCAATGATTGACTCATACGTTTTTTTTTATTTCGGAAGTTGCTATGAGAATATTTCTCATTCAATTGAAATACTTGGCTGCTATTCAAAAACTAATTCTTTCTTGTTTTACTTCTAAGCTATTTGTTTTTTTTTTAAGCCAATTTCATTCAATTTCCACTTTTGTTTTTTATTCTTTTGCTGCAGTTTCCAATGATAGTCTTTAAGGAAATGCGGAAAATTACCGTGATAAAAAATAAATAAGTTCACAAGGTAATATTAATGATGTTATATGAATAAAAGGCAAATAATTGAGAACTAGATGTAAAGAGAAAAAATAGGTCATGTCACGTTATATTATACAATGGTTAAATTATTCTACTTAAAATGTTCGCCTACGTGGAAAATAGGTATTATATAGACAAATCAATTACTCAGTTTCATTTATTAATTAAGTAATTACCACAGCGTCAACTGAATTATGCAAGTTTTTCCATATTAATTGTGCTAACTGGCAAGGTCTTGTACTGTATAAAATACTTCTATACAAAATGTTATTTTTATTACAAATCTTAATGAAATGAATGTATCGCTAAAAATAATAGATGATTAAATGACGATTTCGTTCAATAATGCTGTTGTGTAAAATAAGATAAAAATAAATCAACTAAGATTACAATGTTCGGACTTCCAATAAAAACAACACTTATTTTTAATTTTAGACCCGTAAAGTAATTGGAACTCGTTAAAAATGTAGTAATGTATATGGTTCTTTTACATTGCTTGGCACTGATTTAGCTTAGTGAAGGAAAAACCTCACAATACTTTGCCAGGTCACCAATCTTGATACTTTTTTTTTACATGCTTAAAAGAATATCAATTACCAATGCAACATGAAATACGTTTTCTTTAGGTAATTGTAATTAAGGTTTATTTTTCGTTACTTCAACAGCCAAGTAATTTTAAGAATTAATTGAGGAAGTTACTATTTTCCGATTTATTCTGGACAATTTCGGAATTAATTAATGTATTCTTAATCATCCAAGATGATTCATTTCATTTTTATTATTAAATTTTAATTTTTTCTTTATTTAATTGGATTTGTTTATCAATTAATATCTATTAATAATGAAATAATAGACTAATTAATTTGAAAAAGAAATATTCAATGATAAGCTGAGCACGAATACATTGTTCAGTATATCTGAGTTAAGTAAACTTTTGCATGAATAATGGATAGTTGTGACTCTTGCATTATATCCTGATAGTAAACTTTGGACTGCACCATTTTCTAAAACTTAGAACTATGCAATATAACGATGAGTTCGAATGCTGATTTTTATCAAACCTATATACAATGAAAAATGGTATGTAGCTGTTCATTACATATCACAGTTTTACTATTTCCATCCACTTTTGTTACCTTATGAATTTTTCTCTGCTGTAATATTCAGCAATAAAATTTTATACGTGATAAGAAACCATTTTTTATAACGAAAATTAATTTTATAACTTTAATAAATAAAATCTCTGACATTTATTGACGGAATGTATAATTAATGATTAAGATTATATTTTCTGAATTTATAACAGTTATTAAAGGGCGAAAAGAAAAATAGGTTACACTAGAATAATTCCTGCTAAGATTCTGAATAATAAATTCAATGATTTTATTAACAGTTCAGCTGTATTGTCATCAATTTTTTATGATATAAAAAATTCTTTGTAGATGTTTGTCAACGATTTTGTGTTTCAATATTAGATAAAAAAAATTTCTCGTCTAAAGGTTATTTTTTAACATGATAATGAATTTTTTTAACAATAATTAATAAATTGAGAGAATATTTATATAATGAAGCATACAATTGATGACTTGAATTAAATTTCTAGCGCAATTAATTATAATAATAAATTAAAATATTCAAGAACTGTTCATTGTAGGTATGATTTAATATTAAGAAAGTCATATTTTAGTTATAAAAGTAAAAATTTTCTATGTAAAAGATTTGTAAACCAGTTGTTGGAATGGTTAAATTAATATAAATATTACGGATTAAATGAAGAGAAAATGGAGATTGATGTTATAATTTTTTATGACTGAAATTTCAGTCGATTGTCCTCTTGTTGTTGGCTTGCTCTGTTAAATAAAACTGGCACGCATTAACCATTCGATACGTCTGTGTCGCCGTTATTCCAGTATCGATAGGTACATTTTATGATAGCAACGAACAACACACCAGTGATGGCTGATGCGTTTCCAATAGTCCGATGCATTCCACTGAGCAAGAGATGCTCTCGTTCAAGTAACGACCTCGTCGATCGACACGACTCAACGAAGTGGAATAACGGATTATATTATTCTTCATTCTTCTTTTGTAAGATATAAAAGTATAGACTATAGCAGGTGGAATGAGCAAGTCGACGAGATGCTGAGACTTTCTATGATGAGAAGAAGTTACTTCAGGTATTTTAATAGTAGTACTACCTTGAAGACGTCGTCATAATAAATGAATGACATCCATATTTTCCGGTGGAATTTTTCATCGTTTTCTCTACCTTCAGATTATTTGAGATTGAATTACTTCCGGTTTCCTTGAGTTTCTTAATTAAAAATTTCTTAACAGGTATATCAAATAAATATTGATAAAGCTAATCAGACTTTATTTTATACATTTATCATAGAAATTGTAATTCATCATCAAACTCACCTTATAAGATCCAAGATTGTTGATAACACAAGGTAGATTAGCATCCCTTCCAATTGCAACTGTCACATTAGGAATAGGCTCAGCAAACATTGGTCCCTCCGTCAATGCTAAAAAAGACAAAACAGAAAATAAGTTAATCATTTTTGCATTTTAAAAATATTACAAAAAAGTTTACTTCCTCAAGCTCCGTGAACAATATCAATCGTTATAAAAGATAAATACATATTTACATAAATTTACATAGAAGATGGTGAGTTAAGGAGTAAATAAAGCCTTAGATGCAACGTTAGCACAAACACCATAGGATATAGCTAAGCCGAAGGTGGATATCGTGGTACATCCATTTCCCTGTCAATTTCATGAGAGAATAAAGAGCTTCTCATCCCTAAAACTTATCTAAGCCATACCCACTATATAGCTGCATAGTTTCTCCAACCAAAATTGACTCTATACAACAGTGGAGCGGTTCGTATATATGATACTGTCACTCTCATTCGAGGAAGGAATCTCAAAGGAACCCTTCTGAATGCTTCATAAAATTATTCCTTCATCTTTCTTTTTAATGACACCCAATCATAATTTAGCTTTAATTCATTGTTGGAGGAACTAAGGTTTTGTTAAACTGTTCAGTCATGTTCTGTTTCAGTTGCCAATCAATTCTACCTGCATATTCACACCACTGGAGTAGGAATAATTGAAGGGACTATTTAATCACAACTTAGAGTTAATCGTAACCAAAGAGCAATCAAGCATGGTACTTCGATATGCTGACGACTGCGACTGAGCTTTGCATTGGACATCATATTATCTCAACAAGACTCTGTTCTCGCGATTGTTCGAGAGTAAACGAAGAGCTCTGTTGAGATGCTCACTTAAACAGAAGTTCGGAATTAAAGCCAATTAACACAATAACTTTAACTTGTCTAATTTTCAATGTAATGTTAATAATATATTTATCAAGTTTGAAAATGGAAGATCGGTTTTGAAAAAATATTTGATGGTTAAATTAAATATGTGAGAAGATTATAAAATAGGTAAGTGAATTTTTGGAGATAAGATAATAATTATAATGTGTGTACAATATTTTATGTCACCAGATGATGAGTTTATTTTTAGAGACATCGACTATTAGAAGTTCTAACTGCCTTACTGAGTAACATTTTATCTGTTTTATATTTTTTATGGATTCATACAAGAAGCAAAAAAATACAGTTTAAGAATCAACTCAATCGTAAAAAGAGATTAGAGTATTCTAGATTCTGCTTCAATCGAAATTTATTGGATAGCGGAAATAATTTGTAAAAAACAAAGTAAGGATTCTTAAGTTCAATGCTTTAAGATACTTTTTCTATTTTTTCTTCCTCATCGTTCTCCTTCTATTTATGTTTTAGTATCTTGGATTAAATTGTAGCAATATTTTTGTTCGTATTTTTAAAGACAAAATAATTTCTGTACAGTACATCTTACGTCAAAAAAATTTGAAAATAACATAAGTTTAAAAAGATAAGCCAAACGTTATGATAAATGAAATATACTTGAGGTTCACACTTTATCGTCATTATTAACTTAACCTGACTCATATCTGCCTTGTACTTTTATTTAAACTGTTTAAAACTAACTAATATTTATTTTCTTATATGTATCAAATTCGAAAATAGAAGACATTTTAACTGATATCATATTTTTTTCTAATATTTTTTCAAATTTTTATTACTTCTTATCAATAAATATCAATATATTGAAATTAGCCTTGAAGTTTATAATTCGAAACGAATTCAATTATGGATCTGAATCAATACAGTGATCCAAGATTAAATAATTTTATAATATTTTCATACTGACAGTTTTTGAATAATAATTTTTCTATGAATCACCTGCGATGATTATCTCACGGTAATTATCTTAATATAACGAGTGCTATGAGGCAATTTATATATGTATGTGTACATGTATATATTACACAACAATTCCACATGGAATAACAACACAGATGCGCATAGTTTCTGACACATGGCATGGAGATCTCTCTCTCTCTCTCACTATACTACTGGGTCTTGTGTTAACTCCCAACTGGACTAGATTAGAGTTATTAATCTGTGCAACTAACAAATTGTTGAGAATGAAGAAACATTCATAAAATACAGATGAATGTGTCTGTCCTTAGTTGAGACCCAGTTAACAATTCTTAGTTTTAATGTACGATAATTGGAAAATAATAATAGAAATTTCTCAAGGTCTCTTTTTTAAACGTTGCTTTTTTTTCAACCGCACCTCACATTTTTATTATTTTAAATTGAAATATATAAATATTAAAATAAGAAATATTTCTACTGATTCGATGAAACTTGAAACTTCAGGTCATTGGATCCAATCAATTTCAATTGCGTTTAATCAAGTGTTAAGTATTAAAATATAAAATCGAGTAGATATACATATATGATAAATTTGCAAAAACAAAAGTGCAAATTAAAGTAGAAATCTGCGCGCGTCATTTTAGAATTCGTTTGTGATTCAAATCGAGGGCGCCACTTCGCGAATAATGGATCAATATTGTAGCGTTCACCTAGTCAGTTTGTTGTTGGCTGTTGCTCATGTGTAGTCGTTTCACATGATATTTTTCTCATGCAAATCATAAACAAGTGATTGAAAAAAATAAAATTGTTTTCCATTACATGAATATATTATTTAAGTTTTATAAAATAAAATAAAAGATTATATTTATATTAAAAAAAAAAAAAAGAATGTTAATAGAAAAGAAAATGTGGATAAAGTAATTAGAAAAGTGGGGAGAAGAATAACAAATCGTCATGCCAATACCGCCATACTATACTATATTCATACTATACCAAAACCTAAAGCTTCTAGTGCTAGTAGTCGAGCTAAAGATACACCTCATTCATCTAGCGTCCTCGCAATTGTTACTTTCACTTGGGAACAGCGCAATTATTTTGTAAACAAACAAATTTTATATGTGTAAAAGATATATCCAACAGTACTTATATTATTTCTAAAAAATAGTTGACTTATTTTTAAATGGAATTGTTTTGATTGAAGTGTTAAGTGAAATTAAAGAATATTAAACAAATGATTTCACAAAATGCAACTATGCAATCGAATAAAAAGATTTTGGCTGCTAATGAGCCTTTTTGCAATTGGTAGTCTCTATTTATTATCAATTTACTTTGATTTAAATTCAGAATCATGGAGATCAGGAAGATTGTTCTTCGGAATAGACAACAAAACACCTCTACCTCAAGGTCTCAACGACTCAACAAAATTAGTATTATTTTGGAATACAATGTTTGGAGATGAAACATTCTATTTCGGACGTGGTGATGTTTTTGAAAACTGTCCAAATATACCTAAAGGCAGTTGTTATGCAACTCACAATCGATATGCAGCGAATGTTGAAAATTTTGATGCAATTTTATTTCATGGTAATGAATTGGATATAGGAGATTTACCAAAAAAACGACGGCCTCACCAACGATATATTTTTACAAACTTGGAAAGTCCCGTCAATCGTCCATTACCTTATCCTTTTTTTGAGAATTATTTTAACCTTACAATGACTTATAGACTTGATAGCGATATTGTTTGGCCTTATTCTCTAATTCGAGAGAAAGCAACGGGCGAAATTCTCTGGCCACTGCATCAGACTACTGTTGGGAAGACGAGCAGTGCAACAGGTGAATAAGACTTTAACATAAGCCTCGAGCTTACTTATATGCAACATACATGCCGATTAAATGCTTATTAATTCTCGTAAGATGCTGTTGATTAATTCAAGTTTTAATTGATTCAAAAATCATTAGATCATCACTACAAGCCTTCTACTTATTGATATTTCAAGTACATTTATTGGAACAATGCCCGAAAGATATAATAAATGGCTTGTAGATACGCCTCTGCCAGACAACATGTGTACATTACGTTTACACGTCGTCTGGCGGTCTTTCAGAGGCTTCTTGTGTACAATCAAAATATAGAATTATGCCAACTAAATTCACTACGCAGTTCTAATGACGTCCGTTCATTTTTTATGCAAATACTAAATACTATCTAACTATGTCGAATTCATTTATAAAATTAAAAACTTTTATCTTACTTGAATCTCATCAATCTAAAAGACATAAACAAGAATTTAAAAATCATTATATTGATATTAGAGATGTATATCACCTTTCTATTCTGAGAAAATATTGATCAGTTGTAGATAAATATCTTTAGTAATTCGTATGATTGCATAATCGTTTAGTTACTATGTGTAATAAAAATTCTTTTTATAATATACATATAACCTCATTTTCCTTTTGTAGAAAATTAAATTTTCCAAGTCACTACTTTTAATCATTTTTCTTTAACCTAAAGAAGGAAGTTGGCAATTAAAGATATACCACTACATGGATGAAGCATTTTTACTAATGAATAATAAATTTGTCTATAGGAAATACAATGAAGGCAATACCGTCATCGAATGTTACGCAATTAATAAGGAAGAAAAAAAAAACCGCTGTATGGTTTGTGAGCAACTGTAATTCAATGAGTGGTCGTGAAAAGTATGTTGATGAATTAGAAAAATATATAGATGTTGATATATATGGTTTTTGTGGACAAAAATCTTGTAAAAGGGATCAAGATTGCTTCAAGACTGTTATTGAGCCCAACTACTTCTTCTACTTGTCTTTCGAAAATAGCCTCTGTCAAGATTATGTTACGGAAAAACTTTATAATGCACTCAAGTAATTATCTTATATTTAATATTTTTTTGATGCTATAGTAATTATAAAAATAATTTTTTATTAATATTACACTATACGATTTAAATTGTTAATGAACAAATGGGTGAGTCACGTACACAATTTAAACCGCACATGATAGTCTATTCCCAGAGATCCGGTCTAGAAAACACGCAACTATTACGTGTAGCTGTTGACCTCACTTATTGTTTAGTTCCAGGTCACAACACAACACTTGTATTACTTCAGTTAGATCTTGAACCTTTCGTAGTACAATAACTTCCTTCCTCCACTTTCACCTTTTATAAAAAATTAATTATTTTCTGTGAAATAAATAAATGATACTTTTTGTACAGGCATTACGTTGTTCCAGTAGTATATGGAGGTGCTAATTATAGTCTATTTGCGCCTCCAGACTCTTATATAAATACAATGGATTTTGAAAGTCCACTACTCTTGGCTAAGTACTTGAAGAAGTTGACCAAAGAACCAAAAGAGTATGCCAAATATTTTGAGTGGAAGCACCAATATGAAGCTCCATCTTCTCCTCTCAAATTCACCATTTGCCAATTGTGTCGCTATCTTTTAGAAGACCATAAACCAAAAACATATGATCCATTATCCAGTTGGTACAAATATAATAAATGCCCTTTACAAGAAAAGTTAAATTTCCTGCCATATTTGACCAAATCAGCCTTAAACTAACTTATAATGTAATCAAAGTAATTTTTTTCATTATTTTCATAATTTTATAAAAATCTTTCAGCTAAAATTACTGATGCTCATGTTAGTTACAGCAGTATTACAAGAATGTTTGATTCATTATATGAAATATTTCTATTTGGCTCCAAAAATATACAAAACATTTATTTTTATACAAGTCAATCAGTCCTTCCATGTACTGTAAATAATAAAACCGATGGACATCAGAACATCAAAAATAAAAAATTAATCATCACAAATCCATGAATAATCTTCATCTCTTATCAATTTGTAAATTTTACTTTTTGTTGCCATTAAAAGTTGAATCATTAATGGAGTCTTAATTTTCTAATAAAATATTTCTATTTTTAAAATGAGTAATGTAATATTGCCGATGCTTAAACAGCTTCATCTTTGTTTTATAATGATACGCTTCCCAAAATAATTCAACACTCGTTTCCTTTTTTCATAATATATCCATTATAACAATAATCAAGCAAATAAAGATTACGATATTTTAAAATTTATTAAAAAATATTACAATACTTTGCAGTTTTTTGTTTCTTACGTAATATTAGAAAACTTCAAATTTAATCTTTTTCTCTTATCTAATATTTTTCTTCTATTAGTGAACTAAGTTAGCTACGATACAAAACAAATATTATCTTTCGGTTAAATTTGCACATTCAATCACTGCTTTATTTACTATATTTACTGGATAATTGTCAATGTTGCTTTTAGTAAATTTTCTCAACAATTTCTGAAAGTTATTTATAATGCTACTGAATCGTGTTGAATATTTTAAATATTCCTTCACAGCATCAAGAAAAGGAATGAGAGTGCAACTATTTTGACAAGTAGATCTTTTAGCTCAATTTCACGTAGCTCGTTGATAAGATATTGCATCGCGATACCGTGAATTGAGTAGAGGATAAAATTCGTTCAGTTTATCAGCAATAACTTGAAAGTTTTTCATATCTTGCCAATAATTTTTCGCTGAGTGTAAGAATAGTTGGCTGAGTATTCGTATTGCCGTATGGTCTGTATAAGGGTTTGAACGAAAGTAGGATAAAAGAAGCGAGTCGTAGAGCCCCTGAGAAATTTATCTGACAGATAAAAATGTCTCTTAGAGAGTTTATACAGTGCGGAAGCAGGAAGAGATTTCAATAAAACCAACCTTTTTTTTCCTCCACTCTTTTTTCAAATTTTCTTCTGTTCATTCTCTCCTGCTCTCCGTGCCTCGACGCGATTCTGGAAAATGGATAAAACGACGAAGCCAAAGCATTAAACGGGTCAGCGAATCTCAAAGTCATGGGAAAAGCTTTTCTTTTCTGGTATGCGTGACGCCTCTATGATCATCATTTTGTGTTTTCTACTGTGTACAATCTTGTAAAAGTAATAATTCCATTTTTGTACAAGATTTTATAGCACTATTATTTACTGTTCAGTGCTCATTTCTTTCAATATTCTATCAACCTTTGCTCTATCATCATTTTACACGTTAACTTTTTCATTTCCAAACTTTTTACGACAATCTTTATAGCTGTAACTAAATTTTTATATTCCATTTAATGAAACAATAAAATAGTATCATTATCTTAATCGGTTCTTTGATGTGTCATGAATTCATACCAAATGATTATTAATCCAATACACAATGTTTTGTAGATTTATTGGAATAATAAAAATAAAAGAAATTTTTTTGTTGATTTAGTCATTTAGAAAAGAGTAGTTATTATTGAGAATGACCTGTTGGTATTCAACATCGATAATAACTCGACTGATCTGAAGCTTAATTAATGAAATGTTTCCAAAATATGGAAAGTTAGTGAATGTTATAGTTTATAATGAAGTGAAAAGATTAAACAATTCATAAACTAAAGCAACAACGATCGATTGAAATGAAATAGGCTAACATAATTTATATAGAACTCAACTCAACAGCATCAACAATTAATAACCTTCACTCGAGAGTCTAACAACCTCATCTATAAATTTACGTACACCAAAGCTTGTCGAGTGTCTCGAAAACCAATATTCTCTGGCTTGTTCTAATTTACTCTGGACACTGTTCATGCTGTGTTCACATTAATAACTATGCTTGCAACATAGTTATTTCAGACTGATAAGCAAATAATGAATGAGATGGTTAGAAGGTAGCACCTGCGAAGGAACCTGATAGTCCCTGAAGGCACGTGCCCAACTAGGAAGCTGGTGTAGCTTTGCTAGCACTTTGACCTGCGATTTATAGGGCGTTAAACTAACGCAAGACTGAACAACCTCTTCAGCTATCGGTCGTTCCGCACTGCCAACCACTGTGGTCAGCCTACAGTTCAATGTGAATCAACGATCCAATGCAATTTCATTCCCTTTCTATTTCCTCTGGCATTAATGCTTCAGTATACAACCCATATCAATATACACTCCAAGTACTTTTGCCAGTAAATGGCATATTTTCATTGTGCTAATTTATTGGTAGTTGGTACGGCGTGAAAAGCGAATAGTAATGGCATCAATTGCCAAAACTATACCCCACTGACTAAACTACCGACTATTTATGTCTCTAATGTTGTAGCTGGACAAGTTACAGGGCTGGTCGTGTGGTCAGGGTGATACACGTTCTTGTAGGGAGACATAGACCCAAGAGATGAGTGTGAGAGGAATGTTTCAGACTCCATTACTTGAATTGGATTGGGAATAAGTTACTCCCTAAGCATCTTTACTCTCGTATTTTGGACAAACACTTTGGACTTATCCTGATCCAGAACTATGGATCCGTGAGTCGGTAAACTTAAATATTACCTTGTATATTAAGTTCCATTTTTACCAAAGTCAATCTTTACTTAAGATAAATTTATGTACCCTGTTCATACATTTTATTAAATCCATGTTTTTCAATTTTCTGTATTAAACTTGGCTTATACTGTTTGCTCAATATTTAACGATTGATTCAAGTTTTCAAGATTTTATTTTTTTCACTAGCATATGTCAATGAAGATTAATGGCATCAGACGTGTCAAAATATATGTCATCAAGTATCGTTTAAAGTTGGATATTGAATTATAGAAATGTAGATTAAAATGCATAAAATAATGTCTTTTATTTAGAGCATTTAAGGTGTAAATGGAGTGTAATAAAGAGAAGAAAGTTGTAATCCACAGAGTTATGGAATCTAATAAGTTCTTTCTTCTTTTTCATTGCTCGAGCAGGTGGAAAATCGATAAAGGAAGCATCTGCCACCGATCAAGTTCTAGTGTAGCTTTTGCCCACTCGATGCTCCAGCAAGTAAGCGTCATCCTTGCGGACTTCCAGTCTATTCACGGCAACTTCCGACAGCTGCATCCAATAGCCAAGTGTGGATACGACTGGACACTGTCCTTGAGTGATTTTGCGGAAACAAACCAAGCACTATATTCCCTTCAATGCAGCCTGCTTAGCTTTATCCGATCGATCTACTCGGACTTTCAGATTCAGGTCTCGATCGAGTGTTGGATCATCCCCCACTCAAGCTTTTAGTTTATTTTTAGTTCCATGTTCTAGTGTCTCTTTTCCAGCTGTTCAATCCTGAATTTTTCTCTAGAACACTTTGGATAGAAACTTGTGCTTTTTTTCATCTGTCTATTAGAATAACATGAGTTTACTTTAATAATTTAACTCATAAAAAGTCAATATATATGAGAGACAGTCAAGTTTTGAATGAAACTGATGACAATAAATATCAAATCAAGTTTGTTCATTGGGGAATCAACTTTGATTAAAACTTATCTGATACTGCACGTAAATTTACTCAATTCATCTGGGAATAAACGACAAGTTTGAATTGTCAAAATAAATCACATCAAAGCACAGTCTTTATGTTATTGTAAATACACCAAATTTGATTTTGTTTTTTTTTTTTTCATGGTATATAAAAGAAAAATGTTGGATACTTAGTAAAAGCAAAACTTTATTATAAAACAAAATGTATAGGAGATTGTAAATAACTCAAACACCTATTATCGACTCAAGACTTTTTGATTTGAATAAGTGGGCCGTTAAAAAAAAAATCATAACTTGTATAAATAGTATCTGATACGACTGAAAGTAGTATGCATACATATTACATTTTATTTAACCACCCACATTCAGGCGGATATGTCGTGTGCATCTGGTCGTCACTCTTTCAATACACATTTGCACAAATCGACATATCAGAAGACATGAGAGAATTCTTTTCAGTGCATATATACGCTCGCTATTGCTTTTACAACTTTCTGACGAGTACAGGAATACAAAAAAGGGCATACTCGATATCTAGACAAACTCAAAGAGACACTTCAGTCTGCTATTCATGATATATCTTCTTTATTCCTTATTTCAGGAATTTTTTTAACAAATACCCAACTAGAGAGATAATATTTATCGATATTATTTTACGCAGCAATGGAGCTTTTGAAAATATTTTTATAAAATCAAAGCTGAATATATTATTTAAGTGAATCGAAATTTAAAAAAAATATTAAAGTGATGTGCGAGGAAGTTTTGACAAAATTATTGACGTTTAAGTATTGAATAAAATTTTTATGTGAAAAAGATATACTACTTGTATGACATCCATAGGTTATCTTACTCAGTAGGTATAGCTAACAGCAAAAATTCAACGCCGCAGAATGCCAAATTGAATTTCACTCTAGTCTACGTCTCGAAAACTAATGTTGACGGGATCGAAGTTTTGTATTGTGATTTCTAAGGTTTTCTACTCACGTTTGAGTTATATGCCACAACAACTATATTTTTTTTATATAAAATAACTGCATCCATGTTATATTATTTTATTTGATATAGTCTTTATTAGCAATTGTTTTTTTGTATTTTAATAAAAATGATGGAAAAATATTCGAAATTCTTCGATTTATTGTGTCAGCTTCTGCAACAATATCATTCAAATTTTTATCGTTATCTGTCATTTTCTAATAGAAGAGCCAGCTCTCCAAGTCGTTTTATAAAGTAGTAAAATTTTATAGATATTTTATTAAGCATTTTTCATTTTATAAAAATAAAATTGTGATTTAAAGTTTAAACAGACATTTTTAAAATACATTATTATTCATAGTTTTTAACAATAAAATTTTTTAATTATTTAAATGAGTAAATTGTTTTAATTTATTGTTTTGAAAAGGAACTTATTAATACATAATTTCTTGTAAAATAATACAAAAGAGTAATAATTTTTATTTATAAAAGTGATGTTTTTAATAAACAATAGATAGATATTTAATTTTAAAGAAAATTCGAATTTCATAGAAGTACAAAACATTGAATGTTATTTTATTATTTTTGTTTAAAAAATCATTTATTTTATTTTTCATTTGTTATTAAATGGAAAATTTCTAAATTCGATGAAACATAAAATAGTTGGAATTTTTTTTTCTGTTCATGCATCGAAAATAATTAAAAAATTTTATTGAATAAAATTTATAATTGTTATGATGTAGATAGATTTCAGTTGATG